CCCCGGAGTGGTCTCTTTTTAAAAATTTTTTGGCGAAGGCCCCCATATGTCGGCGTTCGGGGGCAATTTACGGGAGCTCCGCGGCGGTGTCTTCTCCGCTCTGTTGCTGCACAGCACCAAGTCGCTGAAGGAACCGCACGTGGCGTAGCCTGCCGTACCACCGGTGCACTTTAGAGTCAAGGTCCCGAAACAGAGAGACCTGGAGTGGTCCGAGTTTCAAAGTTCTCGGGGAAGGAGACATATGCTGGCGTCGGTGCCAAATTTAAGGCGTGAGGGCTGCGGTTCCTTCAGCGACTTGGTGCTGCACAGCAAAGGAGCGGAGGAGACTGGCCGGAGGAGCTCAGGATACTCGCACTCAATGGCAAACTCGAGGGCACAGCGCTAATGTACTTCGAAAAGATGCTGCCCGGTTGGACAGCAGTCTCCAACTCCCTTGAATACGTCATGAACAGCATGTTGGTGCTGTACATGACACCGATTCCGTCGGCTAAGCGCATTGAGCAGATGGCGAAGGAGAAGATATCGTCTAGGTCATGGCCCGAACACTACCAGTACTTAGTGTACGTGGCTGAGCGGTCCGGTAACTCCGAGCAATGCGTCTTGCAGTGCTTATGCAAGTCAGCACCTGCATACCTTCAGAGGGCGATGTTGACGCGTCTCAACTCGCAGCGCATGGATCATTTGCAGCAAGCCGCGGAGCTGGTTTCGTTCGCGATCGAATACGAGGCCAACACAGCAAAGTTAGGCAACGGCAACGGGTGTAGCAAGAGCAATCGAGGTGGCCATGGACGAGGTGGTCGCGGCCATGGAAGTGGCAACGGTGACCAAAACGGACGCGGTGGCGGTTTTGTCGCTCGAGTTGGCAGCGGAGAAACACGCACTTGTCATGAATGTGGAGAAGTCGGGCATTTAAAAATCAATTGCCCACAGAAGAATAAGGGAGGTGCTGGGGCATCGACCAGGGTCGCGCTGGCTGTGACAACTGAGGCGGCTTCAAGCTCAGACTCGTGGATCATGGACAGCGGATCCAGCGTACACCTTGTGAAGGACCCGAACATCTTGTGCGATCCGGTCGCATGTGACAAGGTGTGCAGAGCTGCAAATGGCGGTGAGGTGCACGTCACGAAGGTCGGTACAGTTAAGTTACGCACAATTGTTGACGGCAAGGAAGTTGCTATCGACATGTCCGAGGTGTACTACGCGGACAACTTGATGGATAACATCATAAGTTACGGAAGACTTGAAGACCGCGATGTGTATCTTGAACGACACGACGGCAAGAGCTACGCCGTACGAGAAGAAGATCGCGTACGTGTGTTCGAGATACACAGGCGCAATGGCGTTCTCATGGTAGACGTTATGGGTGAGAAGACCACGGAGGCACGCGTTCACGTGGTGAATGCTGCAGTTCGCGAAGCCGGGGAAGCACTCGGTGACGCGGTGACTGAAACAACGCTGCTAGCGTTGCATAAGAGGTTGGGGCACATTGCGTACGACACCGCGGAACGCATGGCTGATACCGCAGGGTCTGGTATCCTGCTGACGGACAGGACCCGTCCGAACTGCTTGACCTGTGCGCAGGGAAAGCAGAGCAAGAATAACCAGCCCAAGAAGGACACAGGCTCCAATGCACCGATTGATAAAATTGGTGGAGTCATTGGCACCGACATCAAAGGGCCGATGACTCCTAACGACCGCCGTGGCAACCGATATCTGATAAATTTTGTCGACTACTCGACCAACTATGTGCGCGTGTTCTTGGCCAAGAACAAGATCGAAGCGACGAAGAAGTTTGAACACTTCCTAGTGTATTTCGAAAAAAGATTCAACTGCAGGATCCACGTGCTACGTACTGATGGTGGTAAGGAGTACGTTAACGTTGACCCATTCTGTAAGGCCACGGGCGTGAGACGCCAGACCAGTGAGGCTAAGAACCAAGCTTCCAATGGCAAGGCTGAGAGGATGCACAGAACTGTGTTAAACATGGCACGATGCAAGCTGTTTGCGAGTGGACTTCCGCTGTACTTTTGGGGCGATGCGGTGGAGTATGCAGCGTACGTGTTGAACCGCAGCTCCTGTAGTGCAAATACTAAGCGAAAGTCTCCGTTGGAGATGTTGACCGGTACTGTGCCGAACTTGTCGGACATGGTGACCTTTGGTAGTCCGTGCACGGCGTACCGTGACCCAGGAAAGAAGGCATGGAAACCACGCGCGCAGGTCGGAATGATTGTCGGTAAGAATGACGAGACCAAGGGGTACAAAGTATACTTACCCAAGGATAGGATCGTCATCACTACACAGCACATCAAGAACGTCGAGACGTTGGATAATAAGCAGAACGCACAGCTACAAGCGCAGCTGGAGCGCGAGGATCCGGATCTGCGTTGCGCTGTGGAGGAGCGCGAGAAGGCTTCGAACCGGAAGGGAATGGCACCACAAGTCGATGTACCAGTACCCGCGAAGTCGGCAAAGAGCACGAAGTCGAATGGTAAGTCGGAAAGAAGGTCGGCCAGGAAGGCCAAGACCAGACAGAAGAAGAAGGCACCGGTCGAAGATGCTGCAGCGTCGGAAGGAGTTGGGGGAAAACTGACACCGTCCCGTTGCCCTTGCTTTCTCTCAAAGCATCGGACAACTTGTTGCTGTTACGAGCAACCGTCTGGCGGCGTGCGAAATTCTTCGACGCCCCAGAGTCAATCAAGATTCTAAAGGGATGATCGTATCCCCGTACACATCCGTGTACTACGAGCAACCCGCCGCTGCTCTTCGCCGATTCGAGAGTGCGAAGACTCTCAGGGGCTAAGTCCCCGTGGTACGCGCCACCCGCGCACCCATCACGAAGACTTAGTTTTTCCCCAGTAGGGCGCCCCGCCCATACTGGTTCCCGGCGTTCCCCTGTCCTCGGGATCCTGGCTTCTGCCAGCGACCCTTGAGAACGGGCTTGGGGAAGGACCGTCTGCGGAGTCTTTCCGCGGGACAGTCGCGCTTGAAGTGGCCCATCTTTCCACAGCCGAAGCAGCGGATGTCACGCTGTTCGGCGGACCCGAGTTCCATGGGAACTGGTCCGTTGGGGCTTGTTCGACCGGGGGCCGACATAGAACTCCCAGGCCATGCTGAGGCCGGCGTACGCGCCTGGCGATGGCTGTACTCTTCCTGAAGAGCCACTTGAATCGCCTCTTCAAGGGTGCTTGACTGCACCCGGAACAGCTGAGTGCGTGCGGGACCCACTTCGAAGGCCGTCCATGAACACAGTCATCTTGATGTGCTCGTTGAGTGGGTTTCCCACTAGGGACGCCGTGAGCTCCCGTATCTCTTGCACATACTCGTGCAGTTCGCGCCTTCCTTGTTTACACGCGAGGAAGCGCGAACGCTGGCAGTACTCGTAGTTCGCCGGGAGGAACGCGGCTCGGAGCTGTTCGCACAGCTGAGCCCAGGAGTGTGAAACATCCAGGGGATGTTGCTTCCCGTGTGTACACCCAACT